CAGTCACATGAACTCATGCTAAAGCTATAATTTCTGAGAGACCAGCCATGACTGAAAGGCACTGGGGTGCAAGCCAAATGTGTCCCCCTTACCACAGACGGTTACCGCAGGTGATGTTGGGCACTGGGTTACCTTCTCTGGTGTTGCCCATTCACTGCGCAGGTCTGGAGAGAAAGAGAAACATAAGATGAGTCCAGTGTTCTTATTTACTTGCAGAATGCTATTCACTTCATGAAAGAGGTCTCTTTGGTCTAATCTACACTGTAGAAATAACGCAGTTTGACACCACTCTTGATTGTTGTGGCTCCATCCGATGGAAACCTGGGATTTGTAGTTTTATGAGGTCTTCAGCCTTCTCTGCCAAAAAGAGTGCTAGTGCCTCACAAAACTACAAATCATAGGATTCTGTAGGACGGAGCCATGGAAGGTAAAGTAGTGTCAAGATGCATTATTTCTACAGTGTAGATGCACCCCAAGTGAGGCTGCATCTACATTGCAGAATTAATGCAGTTTGACACCGCTTTAACTGCCATGGCTCAATGCTATGGAATCCTGGGATGTGTAATTTGTTGTGGCACCAGAGCTCTCTGACAGAGAAGGCTAGACAAATCCCAGGATTCCCTAGCATTGAACCATGGCAGTTCATGCAGTGCCAAACTGCTTTATTTCTGCATTGTGGACTGCATATCCCGCCTTTTTTCATGGGATCTCAGGCTGATATTGAGGTGGGATTTCTTTCCCTTGTAACTCTGGGAAAATTATTTTCTTTACATTATTTTAGGGAAGAAATACATTTCAGGGTGTGGCTACACTGCAGAAATAAAGCAGTTTGGCATCACTTTAACTGCCATTACTCAATGCTATGGAATTCTTGGATTTGTAGTTTGGGCAGATATTTATCCTTCCCTGTCAGAGAACTCTGGTGCCCCCATCAAACTACAAATCCCAAAAGCCCATAGCATTGAGCCATGGAAGTTAAAGTGGTGTCAAACTGCTTTACTTCAGCAATGTGGCAGCAGTCTCTGTCTCTCATTTCTAATGGACTTTCCAGAATCTGGAAAGAATGAGAGCACTAAGCCACAAACTCTTACATGTTAATATAATTTGTCAGGGTTGACAAGCCACTATTGAAGCTAATGAATTTGAGGCAAGTCAAAACTTCTAGGCATCAGTTGCTTCTTGCAAGGTAAGCAACCATTCTCCAGTCCTTGCTACATAACCCATTCCCCAGTTTTTTTGGCATATTATGGAGCAAAATACACTATGTAAACTTCACAGTGTCAGCCTGTTCTTTTGGAAGAACCTCCCTAACCCCAAGATACATAAATAACGGATACAAGCATTTTTAGGTGAGCACAGGCAAAGCCATTTTTGATTTCCCCTTCAATATCCATGCAAAATCAGTTTAACGTACAGCTTTAACTGTCATGGCTCCATCCGATGGATTTCTAAAATCTGTAATCTGGTGAGAGGCACCTCGAATTCTCTTGTACATTCCCTGTCACATTATGAGAGAATTCTAAATCCCTTCCCAAAGGACAAATCCCAGGAATCCATTGGATGGAGCCATGGCAGTTAAGACTGCTATGAAACTGCTCTAGCTATGCAGTGGGGATTCATCCCAATTTCTGCTCCAAGGACATTTCCATCCCCTTTAGACATCTGGGAGGAAAGAAGTTTAGATTTTGGAGTCCCAGCATCCTGGCCCCTTCCTGCGTCCCCTCCCCACACAAGACCCATGGATCACCAAAGTGTCCAAATAGCTAAAAAGCCAATGTTTAGGATCACACACTCTTGCAGCCGAGCTCAGGAATGTTATATTTTGCAGGACTTTTTGGAATTCCCTAAAAGTAATTTTCTCCAAGCTCTATGTGGGTGAGTCCCAAACTCTGGTGCTCCGGGTGTTTTGGATTTCAGTTCCCAGAAGCCTCAGTCATTTTGGCCAATGGTCTGGGATTCTGAGAACCAAAATCCAAAGCACCTGGAAGGCCAGAGTTTGGGAAAAACTGCTCAGTGCTATTGCTGATGTCTCTAAACAAGACCAAGAATTTGGAAGCTCTTCATCCAACGCTGTGCACCTGGTCCCTCCACTATGTATGGTACCACACTGGGACTTACATACCAAGCCTTCCTCTTCTTCCCCCTTTCCTCCTCTCTTTCCCGCCTTCTCCTTCTCCTCCTCTTCCTCCGGATGGTGGTGTCGCTCTTTTTCCCAGGAACAGTCTAGAAGAGGGCAGCCCGGGGACAGGGATTTCTTTCAGACACTTCAAGAGGCCATGGAGAGGGCTGGTGGCTGGACTCCACTCTGTGGTGGGAATGGAGAAAAGAATCGCTTTAATACTACTACTACTACTACTAACAATAATAATAATAATTCTTACCCACTTCTCCCCATGGATCAAGGCAGGGAACAACAACAAATCAGCAATACACATCAATTAAAACACATTCATTAAAATATGCAACTGTTTAAAATGACATATAAGACATATGCATTTTAAAACATTCCACATACAAATTTCAACATCTAAATCCACAATTTAAAAGTCATCTGGATAAGCCTGCCAGAAGGAATAGGTTTTCAGTACTGTTTTAAATTCGGACAGAGTATTTAGCTGTCAAATCTCTTCCGGCAGGTTATTCTACAGTTTGGGGGTGGCTGAAGAAAATGTTCTCTGGTTGACTGTTGTCAACCTAGTCCTGGCTGACTGGAGTAAATGTCCATTGGAAGACAACTGGGAAGGGAGAGGTCCCCTTCCATGTCTCCTTTAAAGCCAGTCAAAGGGAGGATCCAGGCCTCATCTGATCAAGGGTCTTCTGATCGAGGACTCAATCTGGATTCTGCCTTACCCTCTGGATACGGGGCCCAGATACCCAGATCCGTCCTGGCCTCTGTGCCGCTGTGAGAAGAGCCACTATTCAACAGGCAGGGCTGGAGATACTGCTCTTCCTCTTCCTCCTCTTCTGGGGGTCCCTTCAGAGCTGAAAAGGGGGTGTCTTCTCCCTCACCTCCAGGCTCCAGTTTAACTGTGGCAGAGAAATTAAACGATATAGCCGTGTTAGTCTGGAAAATCAGTATGCACAGGAATCTTGCAGAACCTTTGATGCCAACTGAAAGAAAGAAGTTGGCAGCATGAGCTTTCGTACAGTTCAGCCTACTTCTTCAGAGGCTTATTTCTGGAGTGGAGAATCCAGAGACAGACCTATATAAGTCATTTGTGTGTGAGAGCTTGAATTCAAATTCAAAACCTATGGGTATGGAGATGATTTGGCAAGGGCAGTTTTGGCAATGGTCATTGGGGGACAAAGGCAGCCAGACAGTGGTAGCCTAAAGAAGAATAGATAATTATATGAATTAGTATATTGGAATGTAGTGTTGGAAATAGAGAGGGATGTGATGAACAGGTCAAGGGCACACTTATGAGGATGGGGGTTAGATAGTGTTGAAATGTGTATAGGGTGCCAGGAAGCCATTATCTCTGTTCAACCCATTGCTGATGGACTGTAGTCTGTGGATAAATTACAATTCTGCTGTTTCTTTTTCTAATCTTTCTTTGCAGTTCTTTTGTTCCAGGACTGCTGTTCTGAGGCCTGAGATGGAATGTCTAGAGAGACTGAAGTGTTCTGCAACTGTGTGTATTCCCATTCCTAATGTTTGATTTATGTCCATTAATCCTCTGGTGCAGAGACTGGCCTGTTTGCCCAATGTAGAATGCTGAAGAGCATAGCTGACATAGTATGGCATAAATCACATTAGAAGATGAGCATGTGAAATTCCTTCTAATATTGTGGTGATGTCATTAGGGCCTATGATGACATTTCCTGAACAGATGTGTGGGCAGAGTTGGCATCTGGGTTTGTGGCAATCCCATTCAACATTGCCAAGTCAGCCAGTCAGAAAAAGAGCAATCTTACTTTTCATGTTCAAGGCACTGGTCTCCTCAGCTCTCCTCTCTTGGCCCATGGGTCCAGGGATATTGATGGAGTTACTAGATCCATCTGGGTATCGAAGTGGGGGGCTGTTCTTCTCCTGCTTGACTTTCACTAGAGAAACCCAAAAGAAACACAATGAGGCTCAGTAAGCAGCTGACCATGGGCATGAATTGGGTGAATCCGCTCCAGGAGTTAAGACTGAAATGCACAGAGCTATCCAAAGTGATTAATATTTGCACACAAAACAGAACATCTGTAACATACACATTCATACACACCTTAATGAATACCCACATTCATAATATATTTAGGGGAAACTTGCCCCTTTTTCGGGTTCAGGAATGAAAGCATTAGTGAAATGAAGTCAGCTATTTAACAACTAGCCTGTCTAGATGTCAGCACTCAAGCTGAGCAGTCCAGCACCAAAGCTACTCAAAGGATGCACACAGAATTTGTTAGAGAGGTAAATACACTGTGTGTTATTCTTGGTTTTCTTCAGCCATGTTTGGAAAAGTGGCTTTTTGGACTTTATGGCTGGCTTGTGGATTCTGGGAGCTGTGGTCCAATAAGGTCACTTTCTGAGCTTTGCCTAGTGGTAGGATTTGGATACTGAAGACCTATCCTGTAAGGAAACTCAGACAGGGGGAAATGCTGCATCTTACCTCTTGCAAGGGGGGAGTCACCCTTCACTTGCGGTTCATTCATTCTCCCACTTCCTTCTGTCTGGGAGATAGAAAAATTGCTTCTTGGAGTAAGACTGGCAACTTCCTTCTGTGGACTATGGGCAGGCAGCCCTTCTTCTATTGCTTCGATTTTAACTGCATACAGAAATGGATAAACAGGACCATTGAGAAAAAATTAAAATAATACAACAAATGAGAGCATTTGTGAAGGGCTGAGGAACTGAGCAAGAATTCATTAGGACATGCAAGCTCCTAAACTGTTTTACATGCTCTGTTTTACATGCTCTGATACATACATCTTTTTAAAAAAAAATCACTGGATGACCAATCACACTCTCTCAGCCTAAGAGGAAGATGCTGGCAAGCCTCCTACCAATAAATGTCACCAATGAAAATCACATGGTGTAGTGGATTGAGTGTTGGACTAGGACTTTAGGAACCCAGGGTTTAAACTTCTTCAATGTAGCCACGCAAACCCACTGGGTAACCTTTGGCAAGTCATACCCTCTCAGCCTCAGAGCAAGGTAATGCAAATCTCCTCTGAAGAAATCTTACCTAGAAAAACCCCATAAGAGGGTAACCATAAACTGAAGTTAACTTGAAGGCACATAACAACAAAGACCCATTTAAACAATAGGTTTTGGCTATGTTTTGACTCCTCATTCACTAACTGAGTCTATGGGTCTCCTCTGTTTGGGACTAACTAATAGGATTCAGTCCCAAGTGTCTGAGCAAGCAGCACAACTGTTTCTTGCTGGTGGAAAAAGTTCATGTGACCTTGTGGTCATGTGCCATACAAAAATAGAAGACACACTACTGGAAAGAGCCAGCATGGCATAGTGGTTTGTGTGTTGGAATACAATGATGGTGACAAGGGTTTAGTTCCCAGCTCAGCCATGAAATCCATTGGGCAACCTTGGGCAAGTCACACTTTGTTAGCCTCAGGGGAAGGCAATGGCAAACCTCGTCTGAGCAAATCTTGCCAAGAAACCTATACGATAGGTTCACCTTTGGGCCACCATAAGTTGGAAACAACTTGAAGGCACACCACAACAAACTACAAGGAACCCTACGAAATCCGTGGCCACTGCAGACTCAAAACACAGGCCAGGATAGAAAGAAATGAGCTACTAAACCTCAATTTCAGAAATGGTTGTGTTGCACCCAAAACCCACCTCTGATGGGCGGAGATCCACCACTCCCCACGTCTCTTCTCCTGTGTCCAAGGGTTTCTTCACAGCTACCAGGAGAAGGTTTACGGGGTGCTTGTTGGGGCTGATGGACAATAAGTTCCTTCAGGCACTTCAGAAGACCACAGAGGGGCTTCTCCTCAGCTTTCTTCCCTAAGTGAAAGGAAGAATGGTGCGGGGGGGAAATTATAGAGTACAGATTTTCAACCAGAGGCTGGATGGTCACCTGTCGGGAGTGCTTTGATTGTATGTTCCTCCATGGCCAAAGCGGGTTAGACTGGATGGCCTTTGGGGTCTCTTCCAAGTATATGTTTCTATGAGATAAACCCAGTAGCTGCTAATGGATTCCACGTCAGTTGGGTAAGGAATCTGTTCCAGCCACTTTAAAGGCACTATCAAAGTAATCATCCCCATTGGTCAAAAAGAAAATGCTAAGAACACTCTGATCATGAATATAAAGGTCTTGTCTTGAATGTCAAAAAGAGACCAGATAGGTAGAATTTCAATTATTATTCAGTACTGATAACTTTCAGAAGCTATCATCAGCTGAGGACTACCATATTGTTCATGAGTTATATGCTTGAGATACAAAATGGGATAGTAGGCTTGGGGAGAGAAATTAAAAACCACTATTTTCTGTTTGGAAAAGTATTTTTTAAAAATCCACCCAGATAAATAAAGTGGTACTGCTGTCTTTAGACATTATATTTTAGTATACTCCTATTGAGGCCAGTGTGGTGTAGTGGTTTGAGTAATGGACTACGACTCTGGAGACCAGGGTTCAAATCCAGGCTTGGCCATGCAAACCCTCTGGATGACCTTTGGCAAGTCACACTCTCAGACTCAGAGAAATAGCAATAGCTAACCCCCTCCGAACAAATCTTGCCAAGAAAACCCCAGGATAGGGTTGCCTTAGAGTAACAACTTGAGGGCACAGAACAATAAAAATGTGGAAACTGCCTGGGTGATGAAGGGTCCCTGGTCTCAAAAACTCCCTCTAAAAAGATCAGATGTGCTCCTTTGTCCCAGGCCTACTTCCCTAGGTTACAAACCTGGTGCCATGTTCAAAGGTGTCTGTTTGGAAGCATCTTCCTTATCAGATCTCACAGTCACCATCTCAGATCCCTTCCAGTCTTTCGAGGAAGAACTGCCAGACACAAGACTGCGGAGCAGGAAAGGGCAGTCCACCTCAGATTTCTTCTGAGAACTGGGTAAGAGCTGATGGGCAGGATCTGCAATGGGTTCTGCTGTGGCAAAATAATCGAGGAACATATCAGTTGAGAGCCTTCATAGGCTTACCACTGGGGAGTTGTGTATGCCTGCATGGAGAGGGGTTGAACCATATGACCTTTGTGGCCCCCTTCCATCTCTGATTCCATGGTTCTACATGCAGAAAACTGCAAATCAACACTGATAGAATTTGGGTCCAACAGGATGGTCCGTTACCATACAGACCTGTGAATTCTAGATGGGCAGCCATTTCTGAAATGGCCATATTTTGAAATATTTTGCTTACTGTCCAACTTTGCTTGACTGTGTTTGATGTCTTCTGGGAACATTTGCATTCTGAAAGCTTGGGGAGTCCTACACTGTGGCAAATCAGAGCCATTCCTTCATTGATTTTTACCTTTCGGGGGATGCTCCTCTCCAACTCCAGCTTTTGCTCTGCTTGGTTCTGTGTCTCTGCTCGCACCATTGTCCAGAGAGTCATGGGTTCGATTCCAAGGAGGGCTGGCTTGGCCTCCAGTGCCTTCCTCCTGTTGTCCATCCTCCTCATGAACAAGGGGTCCTCTCAGGAGCAAACAGCAAACAGAAAGTTAGACGATCAGTTACACCAAATGCAGGTCTCCCTCAGTTATCAAAGACTCTGACAAAGAAGCTCCTTCCTTTTCACAAAGTCTTTTTATGCCCACCCAATTTTTCCTCTTCCTCTGTCTAAGCTGGAAGGTTTTCAGCAGCACTGGGGGGGGGACGACAGTGGCTGCATCCATCCTTGGATTATATTGGTCATCTTATATTAATGCAGGCACCAAGCTGACTGCCCCATCCTATCTATTTGCCCATCCTTTTTTCCCTTTTACCCCCTTTCATTTCCTTCTCTCACTTTGTTTTTCTTTGTAAACACACTAAAAATCCAAGGAAATTTTAAAAATGAGTTTCCAAGGGAAATGGGTGTAATAACGTGCTACTATAAAATAGCATCTAACTCACCTGTGTTTCAGACTCACCTGCTGTGCTCTCCGTGCAAATCTCCACTTCCCTCCCTGTTTCGGGGCTCCCATTCTGCACCCCAAATTGACAAGGTAGGTTGAGGGGGGCTTCTGTTTCATGCTTTAGCAAACCATGTGCCAGGTTCCCTTCTCCAGCAAGCCCTGTGGTTGTTGCCATATCTGGGACAGCAAAGAAGCAATGCAAAAATATCCAAAATCAGTAAAGGATTGCCTTTAAGTAGGCCTTGTGTTGGGGTTTGTGATGTTTAACAAAAAACCATGAATGTCTAACAATTTTTGGTTTTGAAAAACAAGTATTTTTAACAATGCTTAAATAAGGCAGGGACCTGTGCAAACTAGTAAAGGTGTGGAATTCCCTACTCAGGTGGCTTTCTCCTATCATCATCATCATCATCATCATCATCATCATTTATTTATATAGCACCATCAATGTACATGGTGTTTTACAAGCAGCTGCAGAATAAAATAAAAATAATATACAAAATATAAAATATAATATTAAAATGCAGTGGGGAAAAGCCACACACACAAGAGACGTAATGCAAAATAAAACAAAATAGGCAGTACAGATAATCTAATATACTAAAGATATAAAGATATAAAGATAGCAGGTAAAGATTATTTTTTTTTACTGAAACAGGTATTATGCAGTGAATTGTTATTGTTGTTTGTTTGTGGAAGTCACTTCCTGCTCACTCCCTATTCCAAAAACTGGTCCACAGGGGAAGGGGGCAAAAACGTGATAAAAATGCCCTCCAAACACCAATTTGAGGATTTTTTTTAAAATTGCTATGGGCCCCCATGGCCCAAAAATGGCATGTTGCAGCTCTAATTCAGCATCCTCTTAATTCGTTTCCTGGTCCAATAAAGCATCCAGTGTGTCTCACTAGCCTGCTTCTGAATAAAGATTTCCCTGTCTTTCAAACACCAGGTCTCTAAATAATAGTTGGTGCCCCAAAAAACATAAGTCCTTTAGGACCAAACCATGACCGTACGTCTTAAGGCTGGTCGACATGATTTAAATAATCCTTATTCTATTTGAACAGAATGCAACCCCTCCATATGCAATTTGGAGGAATTTGGACTTTTTTTGCAGGGGAACCTCTCAAACTTGGCAGAAAGAGAATCATAGTTTTTACTGTAATATCCATGGGGATATGCATTATTGAACATGTAGCCGTCCTTCCACTTTGCACGAATTTGCACAGCTGCGCATATTTGGCAGAAGAAGGACAAACAGATGCCACTTAGTGCAGGAAAGTGAAGACAATTCAGTGCCGATGCAAATGTGAGAAAATCAGCAGTAATTCACATAATACACTTATGTATAGGCTAGCTCTGACAGTCTTCTTGTGTGTACATACCCTGAATCTGGGACTCCATCCATTCCTCCTCGGTGCTGCTGGCAAGTGAACATGGAGGGCTGAGCGGGCTCTGGGGAACGTCAGCCATATTCCTCCGTTGGTCCAGGTGATGGAAGCGCTCCTTTTCCTCTCTGGCTCTCACTACCAAGACAAAGCAAATGTCCAGTCAATGATCCCGTGATGACTATGAGGTCCTTTGGACACATGCATAGATCGTAGGCTAGAATCATACAACTGAAGATTTATTTATCCATCAATGCACCTCAAGAAAAGGACTGAAATGCCAAAATAAATCAGCATTTCATGCAAAAATAAATCAGCCAGGTCCACTAGACTCCCATAATAATAATAATAATAATAATAATAATAATAATAATAATAATAATAATGATGATAAAATTTATTTATACCCCGCCCCTCTGAGGTCAATCGGGGCGGCTTACAAGTGATAAAATACCATACATCCAAATCCCTATACCCTCCCCCCCTTAAAAAAGTATTCCCTTTCACCTCTCCCTATCCTTTTTTTAGAGAACTCTAAAAGAGAACTCTAGAGCCTCACCACACTACAAATCTCAAGTCTACAGGACGTTGACATGGTGGAAAGTAGAAAATGGCCATCCAATCTCTGTTTAAAGATGGAGTCCACCGCTCTCTGAGACAGTCTATTCCACTGCCAAACAGCTGTTGCAGGAAGCAAAAACGTCTTCCTAATATTTAGGTGGAATCTCTTTTCTTGGAATTTCTTGGAATTTGCATCCATTGGTTTGCTATCTAGTTTTTACTGCTACTGTCTTCTTCCTGCGCAACTTGACCATTCTCACTTATCCTTTTCTACCAGTCAAATTAAGCTCGCAAGTCAAGCTTCTGCGGATAAGAGAACAACATCAATCCATCCTGTTTATTTTATTTTATCAGGTTTATTTTTGCAGAAGCCAACCAGGCTCCGAACATTCCCTCTCTGTTTGCCTCCCAACAGCCACCCTCCGTTTGATAAATTGCATGACATTTTCCTCTGTCTCTCCCATCACTTCTGTCCTTAATCTCATGAATATTCCACAGCTGTCAAGCGTTTCACCGTCGCTTGTCAATAAGCCTGCAAGATTTTTTGGGGGGTGGAAGAATAATCCATCACAAATTCCATAATTGACATGAAGAAAGGAGGGGGGGCACACCATGATTCATTTTATTTATTTATTTTTTAGGGAGAAATGAGCTGTGTTAAGAGACTTGTTTCAGGGCTGCATCTGCACTGCAGAATTAACGCAATTTGACACCACTTTAACTCCACATTATGGAATCCTGGGATTTGCAGCTTGTTGTAGCACCAGCACTCTCTCACGGAGAAGGCTAAATAGCTCACAAAACTACAAATCCCAGAATCCCACAGCATTGAGTTATGGTAGTTAAAATGGTGTCAAACTGCATTAATTCCACAGTGCAGATGCAGCCCAGGATTCATTCAGACAGACTAAATCATTGTTCATGTGTGGGTTAAATTTGTGTGAAGTCATAGGGTTTCTGAGAAGGAGGAAGAATCAGAGACTTCTCACATTACACAATTACGGTGGTATGATTCCACTTCAGTCGCCATAGCAACATCCGGTGGAATTGGGAGCCTATCACACTACACAATTACAGGGGTACAAATTCCATTTCAATCACCATGACAGAATCCTATAGAATTCTGGGATCTGCAGTTTAGAGAGGGGCATCTGGAATTCTTAGCCAGAAAGCTCTAGCACCTCACCAAACTACAAATCCCAGGACTCCATAGGATGTAGTCATTGTCGTGCTATGATTGTGTAGTGTGAAAGGGCGCCTGAACCAGAACAAGAAAAGGAAGCTCTATACCAAGAGGGAAGATGGATCTGCTCCCAATTTTAGCCCAGATTTCAAAGGGGCTACCTAAAATACTGGCCCCAGTGTCCAAAAAGCAGTTCAGCACCTTAGAATACACACTGAGTATTCCTTATCTGAAATCCAAAATATTCCAAAATCCAAAATTGTCAACACAGGTGGCTGAGATAGTGACACCTTTGCTTTCTGATGGTTCAATGTACACAAACTTTGTTTCACACACATAATTATTCTCTTTCTAGTATTCATTTGCATTATTTTTGGTCAAGAATTGCCACTTCTAAGTCCCATATTGTATGTCCATGAAGGCCGACATGTTCTGCAACTACAGGCTGTCTACCTTAT